CAAAAAACTCTGATCCAGAATTGTTCCTGTCTATAAGAACTGCAGGGACAAAACTGGAGAAGAGACTAAGGGAAAGGAGATCCAGTGGCTGGCCCAGATTAGGGCCCATCTCATGGGGAGGCTCAAAGGCCTGACACGATTACTGATGCTACGATGCACATACAGACAGGAACCTAGCATGGCTGCCCTCCAAGAGGTCAAACAATCAGCTGACTGAAACAGAAGCAGATAATTACACCCAACCAATGATCTGAAGCAATGGAGTCATGTGGTTGGATTGAGGAAAAGCTAGAAGAAGTTGAGGAGGAGGGCAATCCCATTAAAAGACCAGTATTCTCAACAAACCAGGACACCCAAGATCTCTCAGACACTGAGTCACCAACCAGTCAGCATATACAAGCTGGTCCAAAGCCCTAGCACATACAGCATTGTGGGACTATAAAATCCTGGGTTTTCGGCCACACCCCCAGAGCCCTGCCAGGAGGTCTCCATGTGCCAAGTAGAAGGCGGGGAGAACAAGTCTCTGCCTCAAGATTTCCCTGGCCCCGCCCTTCTCCCCCGCTTCTGATATATAAACAAACACCTTCCGACGTGTTTCGGGAAAGCTCCACACCATCCAAACCCACCGCCGTGACAATAAATCCAGACATGTTTAACTCCACATGTCTCTTGAAATCTTGGACTCATTGCATAAGCCAAAACCCACATGGAATGGCGGGAGTGGGAGAGATAAGTCTTTTGTTCTAGCGGCTGCCGGACACTTCCTCTTGAGAGCCGCCACACTGCTTCTTCGCTCCAGTTCCACCAGACTGCCTCAACTCACACCCTCGGTTCGCAGGCTGGGAAGTGCTGCACTCTTGCCCGCCCGAGCCCTATGCCACTGTAGCCACAGTTTCTCAGAGCCTGAGTCCCTCCCGCTCTAGCTGAGTCGTAGCACTAGAGACCACCGCTGCCCTGACATCTGCGTGCGGGCACATGGGCGCTGGCCCGTGTCCCTGCCCGGGCGGCCCCCGCGTGACTTGGGCTCGAGATTTGCCTGACACAGCAGAGGATTGCCTGTGTAGCCTAAATGACAGATGATGCACCTAACCCTAGAGAGACTTGAGGCCCCAGGGAATGTGGAGGCTTGGCAGGGTGTGGTAGGATGTGGTGGCATGGGAACATCCTCTTGGAGACTGGGGAGGAGGAATTGGATGAGGAACTGTTGGAGAGTGGATTGGGAGGGAGACAGTAACTGGACTATAATAAAAAGATTAATGAATTAATGATAATAACAAAAAAAGAATAAGGATATGGAGTTGATGATAATAAAGGTTTTTTTAATCTGTTTAACCTAAAACCATGAGCATAGTAGAAAAGTGTGCCCAGGACGAAATGATAGGATCTGTATTTCTTGAAACCGAGAATATTTTTGAATTGTATAAATAAAGAAATTTTCTGATTGTTAGTCGATTAGAATTGAAAAGCATCCCAGTCTTGGTGTCTTAATCATCTGTCCCTTTACCTGTTCCTTATATCCACTCTTCAACCCATTCATGGGGCCAGCCCAGAGCAATTATGCCAGAATTACAAAGATTAACATAAAGAATTAAATAGTTTGTTTTTATTTTTCTTTTTTAATTAATTTTTTATTGGATATTTTATTTACGTTTCAAATGTTATCACCTTACCCCATTTCCCTCACCCAGGAACACCTTATCGCATCCCCCCTCCGCCTGCTTCTATGAGGATATACCCCCACCCACTCCCCACTCCCACCTCCCCACTCTCGAATTCCCCCACACTCGGCATCCAGCCTTCATGGAACCAAGGATCTCCTCTCCCACCTACGCATGACAAGGCCATCTTCCCCTACATATATAGCTAGAGCAATGGGTCTCTCCCTATGTGGTCTGAGGCTGGTGGTTTAGACCCTGGGAGCACTGGTTAGTTGGCATTGTTGCTCTCCTCATGGGGCTGCAGAGCCTTTCAGCTCCTTCACTCTTCTCTCTAACTCCTCCTTCATTGGGAACCCCTTGATCAGTTCAATGGTTAGCAGTGAGCATCTGCCTCTGAATATGTCAGACTCTGGCAGACCTCTAAGGAAATAGCTATATCAGGCTCCTGTCAGCATTCACTTCCTGACATCCACATCAGCATCTGCCTTTGGTGACTACACATGGAATGAATACCTAGGTGGAACAGTCTCTGGACAGCCTCTCCTTCAGTTTCAGTCCCACACTTAGTCTCCATATTTGCTCCCATGAGTATTTTGTTACTCCTTCTAAGAAGGACCAAAGAACTCACACTTTGGTGTTCCTTCTTCATGAGCTTCATGGGGTCTGTGAGTTGTATCTTGGGTATTTTAAGCTTTTGGGCTAATATCCACTTATCAATAAGTGCATAACATGTGTGTTCTTTTGTAATTTGGTTACCTCACTCAGAATGATATTCTGTAGTTCCATCCATTTGCCTAAGAATTTCTCGAATTCATTCTTTTTAATAGTTAAGTAATATTCCATTGTGTAAATGTAGCACATTTTCTGTATCCATTCCTCTGTTGAAGGACATCTGGGTTCTTTCCAGCTTCTGGCTATTATAAATAAGTCTGCTATAAATATAGTGGAGCATGTATCCTTGTTATATTTTGGAGTTTCTGTTTCTCAAAGAACCAGCTCCTGGTTTGGTTGATACTTTGTATAGTTCTTTTTGTTTCTACTTGGTTGACTTCAGCAGTGAGCTTGAGTATTTCCTGCCATCTACTCCTCTTGAGTGTATTTGCTTACTTTTCTTCTAAAGCTGTCAGGTGTACTGTCACATTGCTAGTGTATGTTCTTTCAAGTTTTTTGTAGGTACTTAGATCTATGAGTTTTCCTCTTAGCACTACTTTCATTAAGTCCCATAAATTTTAGTATGAAGAGCCTTCATTTTCATTAAATCCTAAAAAGTCTTTAATTCCTTACTTTATTTCATTCTTCATCAAGTTATCATTGAGTAGAGGGTTGTCCAGTCTACACATGTATAGGGGCTTTCTATTGTTTTTGTCATTATTGAAGACCATCCTTAATCCATGGTGATCTGATAGGAGGCAATCTTTTTGTGTCTGTTAAGGCCTGTTTTGTGACCAAATATATGTTCTATTTTGGAGAAGGTACCATGAGGTGCTGAAAAAAGGGTATATTCTTTTGTTTTAGGATGAAATGTTCTATTGATATCTGTTAAATCCATTTGGTTCATAACTTTTGTTAGTTTCGCCTTGTCTCTGTTTAGTTTCTGTTTCCATGATTTGTCCATTGCTGAGGGTGGTGTGTTGAAGTCCCCCAATACTATTGTCTGTGGTGCAATGTGTGCTTTGAGCTTTAGTAAAGTTTCTTTTATGAATGTGAGTGCCCTTCCATTTAGAGCATAGATGTTCAGAATTGAGAGTTCATCTTGGGATATTTTTCCTTTGATGAGCATGAAGTGTCTTTCCATATCTTTTTTGATAAGATTTGGTTGAAAATTGATTTTATTCGATATTAGAATGGCTATTCCAGATTCTTACTTGGGACCATTTGCTTGGAAAATTGTTTTCCATATTTTTTCACTAAAGTAGTGTCTGTCTTTATCACTGAGGTGCATTTCCTGTATGCAGTAAAATACTGGGTTCTGTTTACATATCCAGTCTGTTAGTCTACATTATTTATTGGGGAATTGAGTCTATTGATGTTAAGATATATTAAGAAAAAATGATTTTTGCTTCCTGCTATTTTTGTTATTAGAGGTGGAATTATGTTTGTGTAGCTATCTTCTTTTGGGCTTGTTGGATGATTACTTTCTTGCTTTTTCTAGTTTGAAGTTTCCCCTCCTTGTATTGGAGTTTTCCATCTATTATCTTTTGTAGGGCTGCATTTGTGGAAAGATATTGTGCAAACTTGGATTTGTCATGGAATATCTTGGTTTCTTCATCTATAGTGATTGAGAGTTTTGCTGGGTATAGTAATCTGGCCTGGCATTTGTAATTCTCTTAGGATCTGTATAATATCACTTCAGGATCTCCTGGCTTTTATTGTCTTTGGTGTGAAGTATGGTATAATTATTATAGGTCTGCCTTTATACATGTCTTAGGTATATCCTTATTACTCCTGGATGTTTGGTGTTAGGAGCTTTTTGCATTTTGCATTTTTTTTGACAGAGTGTCAGTGGTTTTCTGTGGCATCTTTTGTGCAGGAGATTCTCTATTCTATCTCTTGTATTCTGTTCTTGATGCTTGCATCTTGACTGCTGGTCTGTTTCCTAGGTTTTCTGTCTCCAGTGTAGTCTCCCTTTGGTATATCTTTATTTATTCTACTTCCATTTTTATATCCTGGATGGTTTTGCTTAATTCCTTCACATGTTTGGTTGTGTTTTCCTGCAATTCTTTAAGGGATTGTTGTGTTTCCTCTTTAGGGTCTTCTACCTGTTTACCTGTGTTCTCCTGTATTTCTGTAAGGGAATTATTTATGTCCTTCTTAACGTCCTCTAAAATCATCATGAGAAGTGATTTTTAAATCTGAAGCCTGCTTTTCAAGTGTGATGGAGTGTCCAGGACTTGCTATGGTGGTAGAACTGGGTCCTGATAATGCCAGGTAACCTTGGTTTCTCTTGCTTATGTTCTTCTGCTTGCCTTTGGCCATCTGGTTATCTCTAGTGCTACCTGCACTCACTTTCTCTGATTGGAGACTGTCTCTCCTGTGATCCTGGTTGTGTCAAAACTCCTCAGAGTCCAGATGTCACTGTGATCCTGTGATCCTGAGCTCCTGGGTGGAAGAGCTCCTAGGACTCAGGCTGCCTCTGGGTTCTTGAAATCCTATGATCCTAGGCATGTTAGAGCTCCTGAGGATCCAACTTCCTCATCTGCTCTGTCTGCAGGGGATTCTCTGCTTCTCTGAGTACAGTGATTCCTCTGTTGCTCTGAGTACAGTGATTCCTCTGCTGTTCTGAGTGCAGTGGTTCCTCTGCTGCTCTGAATACAGTTGTTCCTCTGGAATAGGTTAGGATATGGTGTCTTCATGGGAGCAGACCTCTGGGATGGGTCAGTATATGGTGTCCTCACAGGAGCAGACCAGTTAGGAGTCTGCCCCAGCAAAACAGAAGAAACACTGAAAAAGAAATAAAAGTAAATCTCTAAAGGAATATACTGAATTTCTGGTTTCACTGTCCATTAGGGAAAAAAGTCTACATAATTATTTTAAAAGACATTTAAAATAATGCTCCTGTCCACTTAAACAGTTAAAAAGATACACGTCTAAGCATTTGAAAATGTGAATGAGAATTTAACACTCACACTTCACTATAAGAAAGCAATAGAAATGAAGCTCAAAGAATCAATGAAAAACAGTTAAACTCAGTAAGAATCACCAAGATTAATGAGATGAAATTCTACTAATGCAGAGGCAACACAATGACTTTTATAAGAAGGACCAGAAACTGGTGACATTTGAGATCTATATAAACCACTCATCCAGGCAGATGAGTATAGCCAAAGCTGTCAGTTGCAATTACTCATGTTTCTCAGCCCCTCCTCTCACACACACAGAGTGCTCTGCTCCTCTCCAGTCAAGCAGCACATTGTCAGTTGGACTGCCTTAGGCAAGTAAGCTTTTGTTAGAGTCTGTATCACTATGTGAGGAAAATGGGTAGTTTGCACACAGTAATAAACTACGAAATCCTCAGCCTCCACTCTGCTGATTTTAAGTGTAAAATCAGTCTCTGATCCACTGCCACTGAACCTGTCAGAAGTTCCAGCATCCACTTTGGACACCTGATAGATTAGGTACTTTAGGGACTGGACTGGTCTCTGTAATAACCAACTCAAATATGTCTTTCCATTAGTATATAAAAGACTCTGACTTGACTTGCAAGAGATGGAGGCTGGTTGTCCAATGGTAAGCAACAAAGACAGTGGAATCTGGGTCATCACAACATCACCACTAGTTTCTGAAGTTATAATATAATAGTGTAAAGTCATATGCAAACTTCCTGAGCAATCTTTGTGAAATCTTTGATGTTATTCCTTTCAAGTGAGATCCTGGCAATTTTTGAGATTTAAAAATATTATATATCAATTGCTTTTTCACAAAACAAGTGATTCAAAGGTTCTAATTATCAGAGTCTATACCACTCCATCCAATCTACGTCAGAATCTTAATATTAGCACAGCTACTGTTCCATTAGAGTGTATCAAAATCTCACATGGCTGTCCTGGAGATTGTGACCTATCCCATCACAAATGGACAACACACATAGGCATCCAGAGATTACCTTTCTTTGCCATTGTCCTCCATTGACCCGACCGGCGGGTCCTAGTTATTCATGGGGGCGAGGAGGACCGCAACCTGAAAGAAGAATGGGCGGGAGAGAGAAAGGACTCAAGCAAATAGTTGCTTGTCAAGAGTCATGTATTTGAACATGAAATGCTTTTTTATAACATGCTTTACAAGGGGAGAGGGTAAGAGGGGCCAGGTAGTGGGAAAGTACAGAATCTTCTCGGCCTGTGCCTTGAACATGTCATGGTCTATACGGTACACTGCCTTGAATTATGATCCACCTGCTATTCTTTAAAAGATATGGTACACTGCTTGAGTTATGGTTTTCCTGCTATACACTGCTTGCCAAGCAGGAGCTTGTGTTTGCCAGGCTGCAGGGGACATTGTGCAGGTGGGGAAAGGTAGGGAGTGAGGGTAAGGGCGAGGGTCCTGGCTTCTGGCATCTCCCCCTTCTCTGTTTAGTAGAGAAGGCGTCTTATGATCAATCCCAACTATGTGAATTTTGAATTTGGAAGTCAAATTATGGGGGGTCTTAGACAAGTTCACAACCCCAACACATGGATGTGAGAGGAGTCACATCGATGGTCGAAGGCTTTAGGCTGTCAATGATGGGCAACATCAAGGGACCTCGAGGTGGGTGAAAGGAGGGTGAGCGCCCTGTCTTAGGCCATGTAGGCTGCACCCACTCCCAGCACCACGCACTCCTTTTCGGCTGCATTGGGTGGGCCCCTGGGAAGTGGACCTACAATAATCCCGTCATTGGGCTAACTCACAGCCATCCTAGTCCCTTGTAAATGTTCACGTTACCAGCCATTTGTCAGTTTGGGGTGTAATATTGTCATATAGGAAGGCTCCCCAGTGTTAGTGGCCACATCAAGGGCGGCCTTGGTTTAGGAAAAAGCCAATTTTTGTTGGGGTGATCAAGAGGCCAAGCTCTCTAGCGAGAGAAACGAGGGCAAAGCCAGGCATACCAGGAACCCTTCTGGAGGGCGTGGAAGTCTAGGGGTTGACCATAGGGGGAGGCAGGGGAGCTGGCAGCTGTGTCAGTCTCCTGCGGAGTCACTTCTGGATCTTCTTCAATTTTTAGCTGATGGTAATGAACTTCAACCGTCTTCTTGATGGCAGAATCAACCTGGTTCTTAACAAAACTTGTAAGACGATTAAAGGCCCAGGGGCCAAACGAGAGAAGCAAAAGAATGCCAACAAAGGGTCCTAATATACTAGGCAACAGGGTGGTGAGCCAAGGAGAGGTAGAGAACCAGTTTTGATACCATGACTCTCGCTGTTCTCTAGCTCTTTTTCTTTCTTCTAAACTCCTTTTGACCTTGTCCAGGCTATTTTGGACAAGGCCTGTCTTATCGGAGTAAAAGCAACACTCTTCTCTGAGGGCCACGCAGAGACCCCCTTCCTTAAGGAAGACAAGGTCAAGTCCTCTCCTGTTCTGTAATACCACCTCAGAAAGGGAGGCCACAGAGTCCTTAAGATCTTGTATTCCTTCCCTCAAATTATTTAAATCTTTATCAATGAGGGATTGGAGATGAGGATAGTGATTATTGGAAGTCACCAAGGAAGCTATACCCGTGCCTGCACCAATGGCACTAATTCCTAATATAACAGACAAGGTAAGGGCAGTCAGGGGTTCTCTCTTGGTTCTCAAAGAAGATCCTTGATTTATAATATTAAGAAAGGACTCTGGATCGTGTATAAAAATATGTGGAAGAATGGTAACAATTATACAATAATCTTTAAAATGTAAAAAACTGGGATTAAATATATAAGGAGTCAAACCAGAAGCACAGGCAAAATATGTACCATTAGGTGCCAAAGTATATAAAAAAGTATCATTAAGGATCATTGTCTGGTTACAGACCGGAATCAAGTCCCTAGGGGTGAGCATGAAGGGTCCCAAAAGACAAAGGCCTATTCCTGAAATGGAGCTAAGAGTAAGACCTCCTTCAGGCGAACGAGTCCCAAGGAGTCTATTGCCATCATTGGTAAAAATGGGAGGGGAGAGGATAGCTATCCCCTCATAGAAGGGAGTAGTAGGTGAAAAACAAATCCAGCATTGTTGATAATTAGGTTCGCTGGTATTATGGATAGCCTTGAGAGAAGCATTTACCAAGGAAATAATAAGGTCAGCAGAACTAAAAGCAGCAGCGATCAGTCCAATCTGTCTGTCAAGAAGGGAACTGTCCCTGAATCAGAACGGACTGGGCTACAGTGAGCCATTCATTAGGAGTTAAATACCCACCCCCGCCAAGACTCTCAAGAAGGGAAAGAGTAAAGGGGGCATTAGGGCCATAATTCCTAACGGCAAAATTCAGCTTCTCAAGATATTTAAAACAAAGTTTTTTGAAAACTGTGAGATCACTTGTAGAATCATCCTTATCACTTTCATTTTCAATGTCTGAATTGGGCTCGTTCTCAGAGGAATCAGCCTCAGTCTCGGACTGAAGGCGGGGGGGGGGGGGGGGCTTTCCGGGGGGGCTTGCAGGAGGGGCACGAAAAAGAAGCAGGAGCAAGATGAGAAGGGGGGGGTCCGGCCGGCACAGCGGCGGGGGAGGGCCGCCAGGCTCCACCCGACCATGTAGCAGGGGGAAGCGGTGGGGTTTGTTGAGACTCAGAAACTGTGGCTGCAGGTGTCTGTGAAGAAGGAACCTGGGATCAGGTTACAGGAAAGGCTAAATGCAGGGAATCTTGTGAGGGAACGGAGGAAGAACAAAGGACCTTAAGATGGGAAATTTGTTTTTGAAGGCGGAGAATGTCCGTCAATTCACGAACTTGAAAGGAGAGGCGATCTCACATGTCAGAAAGAGAATTAGGCAAAGTGGCAGGGAAAGTTAAAAAGGAAGGCATGGAAGAAGGAGCAGAAGGTGCCATAGGAGGAGACCAGTCAGGGCTGTATTTTTCAAGGATGACAGCATCACCAGATTCCAGAGGCTGTGGCTCGGAGAGAGCAGCCGGGGGAGTCTGTCGAGAGAGCGGCAGAGAAGAAGAAAAATGACGTTTAGCAGCAGGGCATGGGGAGGCAGACTTCTACAATACAGGATTGCAAATGTGAGTGGGAGAGGGAGTCTGTGAATCAGAAACTGCTGAAGAATTATAAGATGGAGGCTGAAAGACCTGTGGAGAGGAATCAGAAGAAGATAAATCTGGATAGAGGCGAGGCGGATCAGAAGGAGGGGGAACCTGTTCAGGGGGAATATCTATGAGAGTAAAAGAAACAGGAGCCTGAGACGGAGGCCTAGAGGGCTGATGAGATGGGCAGGTAGAATTAAGCCGAGATTGTGACAAGCAAAATTCAGCAACAGACAAAAGTTGTCGCTTCCCTGTATCTTTATCTGCATCTTCAATAATATCTCTAATAATACCCCAAAAGGAAAAAATTGTTGCAGAAACAATTACATCATCTTCAGTTTTAATTTTCTCATTTAATTCACGACCTACCTTCTGCCATTTCTTGGGAAGGATGGTAGGACCATCAATCATAAACCAAGGGCACTTCTCATCAATAAAGATAAAAAAACTTATAAGATCCTTTTTCTTAACCCTTATTCCTCTCTCTCTGAGTGCATGTTTGAGGTCCTGTATGAAGGCCGCCTCCTTAGACAATGAATGGCCCATTCTTATGGGATGGAATGAAAATGAAACTTACCCGAGGACGATAGGTCGCGGGGGAGGATCGCTGTCTCACTCAATCTTGATGTCGTGGCCACTTCTCAATGAGGGTCCGTTCGGAGGAATCCGTGCCTCGAGCTCCACGTCTGGGCACCACTTGACCCGACCGGCGGGTCCTAGTTATTCATGGGGGCGAGAAGGACCACAACCTGAAAGAAGAACGGGCGGGAGAGAGAAAGGACTCAAGCAAATAGTTGCTTGTCAAGAGTCATGTATTTGAACATGAAATGTTTTTTTATAACATGCTTTACAAGGGGAGGGGGTAAGAGGGGCCAGGTAGTGGGAAAGTACAGAATCTTCTCGGCCTGTGCCTTGAACATGTCATGGTCTATACGGTACACTGCCTTGAATTATGATCCACCTGCTATTCTTTAAAAGATATGGTACACTGCTTGAGTTATGGTTTTCCTGCTATACACTGCTTGCCAAGCAGGAGCTTGTGTTTGCCAGGCTGCAGGGGACATTGTGCAGGTGGGGAAAGGTAGGGGGTGAGGGTAAGGGCGAGGTTCCTGGCTTCTGGAACTCTATTACCTCCATCCCTCCTTACCCTGAATCCAGAGCACCAGCAGAAACAGGAACTGGGCAGGATTCATCATTTTGAGAAAATGAACTCAGAAGAGTGATCAGCAAGAGGACAGTTGAGATTTTATCTCAGGCCAGAAGGGCAAGGATCTCTCTAGGGAGCAATATACAAATGCTCTGCACTGTATAGCAGAGTACATAGAGGGGACAGATGTATGGGCTTCTTGAAAGTGAAAAATAACTCAAACAATGAAATTAATAAAACAAAATGTGGAGACTGAAGGGAGAATAACAGGATTAAAAAGGACTGTTAATGCATTTCAATCCAGAGCACTAGGAGAAACAGGAACTGGACAGAACTCATCATTTTTGTGGAGATGAACTTAGGAGAGTCATCAGTGAAGGCAAGAGGACAGTTGTGCTTTTATTTCAGGCTAGCAGGGCAAGAACCTCCCTAGGGAGCAATATGCAAATGCTCTCTTCTGTGTAACAGTGAACAAAGAGTGGCAGTTATGTCAAAAATAACTCAAAAATTGAAAGTAATAAAAGAAAATATGATGTCTGACAGAGGTTAAAAGACTGTCAATGCAGTTTAAATCACTTATAAATTTGGATCAGCAAATTAGTCTCCCTGTATAGTTTGAAATTTACTTAAATTTTGTCTATATACACATGAATAAATTGCAGAGAAGGGAGGAATGTAATTGAGATACACAGCTAGCTATCATCATGCATGAAATGAGAACCCAAAACTTTGTGCTCATAGTCTTTAGTACATTTCAAGAATATAAGATAGAAGCAAATCATTCAACTCTTTTCAACTTATTGATTGTACTCTGACTCTATATAAGAAAATATGGTTTTAATTATAATCAAGGGAACATACTTAAGGGATTAATGTGATTCAAAAAATTATATACTCTAAGGATAATTATACTAACTATACATTCATAAAATACACATATGTAATTATTAACATATGTCCCATACATAAACAAATACATTATTCTAATAATGTTGAAAATTTTTAGATCAGTTTCTCTTACTCTTATAACAAACTCTGATCTTCTAGTTGTTGAGAATTACATTTTTTTCTTTTCTTTTTTTTCCCCTTGTGGGTTTTTTATTTATTTACATTTCAAATGTTATCCCTTTTTCCAGACTAGAAAAGAAATTCCTCCCATCACATAATAATCAAAACACAAAATGCACAAAACAAAGAAAGAATATTAAATGCAGTAGGGGAAAAAGGTCAAGTAACATATATAGGCAGACCTATCAGAAATAAACCAGACTCATCACCAGAGTCTATAAAATCTAGAAGATCCTGGGCAAATGTCATGCAGACTCTAAGAGAACATAAATGCCATCCCAGGCTTTTATACCCAGCAAAACTATCAATTAACATAGATAGAGAAAACAAGATATTCCATGACAAAAAAGTTTACACAATACATATACAAATATAGCCCTATGCAGGTTAATAAATGGAAATCCCCAACACAATAAGGGAAACTACACCCTGGAAAAAAAACAAGAATATTATCTTTTAACAAACCAAAAACAAGAAAGCCATATAAACATAATTACACTTCTAACAACAATAGCAACAATCACTTTTCCTTACTATCTTTTGACATCAATGGAGTCAATTCCCCAATAAAAAGACATAAACTAACAGACTAGCTACATAAACAGGACCCAACATTTTTGTTCATACAGTAAAACCACCTCAGTGACAAAGACAGACATAATCTCAGAGTACAAGGCTGGAAAACTGTTTTCCAAGAAAACGGTCCCAAGAAACAAACTGTAGTAGCCATCCTACTATGGAATAAAATTGACTTTCAACCAAAAGTTATCAAAAAAGATAAGAAAGGACATTTCATACTCATCAATGGAAAAATCTACTAAGATGAAATCCCAATTCTGAACATCTATGCTCCAAAGGCAAGGGCACCCACATTCATAAAAGAAACATTTCTAACACTCAAAGTACACATTGTACCTCACACAATAATAGTGGGAGACTTCAACACCCCATTCTCAACAATGAACAGATCATGGAAACAGAAACACAACAGAGACACAGTGAAACTAAGAGAAGTTTTGAACCAGATGGATTTAACATATGTTTACAAAACATTTCATCCTCAAAAAAGGAATATACCATCTTCTCAGCACCTCATGGAACCTTCTCCAGAACTGACCGTATAATCTGTCACAAAACAAGACTCAACAGCTACAAGAAGATTGAAATAATCCAATGAATCCTATGAGAATACCATGGACTAAAGGTACTCATTAATAACAACAAAACAATAGAAAAACTACATACACATGGAAGCTGAACAACACTCAGTGATAACTTGGTGAAGGAAGAAATGATGAAAGAAATTAAAGACTTTTTAGAATTCAATGAAAGGCACAACATACCTCATGGAAGCAGTGCTAAGATGAAAACTCATAGCTCTAGTGGCTCCAAATAGAAACTGGAGAGAGCATACACTAGCAGATTGACAGCACATCTGAAAGCTCTAGAACAAAAACAAGCAAATACACCCAAGAGGAATAGACAGCATGAAATAATCAAACTCAGGGATGAAATCAACCAAGTAGAAACAAAAAGAACTATACAAAGAATCAACAAAACCAGGAGCTGATTCTTTGAGAAAATCAACAAGATAGTTAAGCCCTTAGACATACTAACCAGAGGGCACAGAGACACTATCCAAATTAAAAAATCAGAACTGAAAAGGAGACATAACAACAAAAACCGAGGAAATTCAAAAAATCATCAGATCCTAATACCAAAGCCTGTACTCAACAAAACTGGAAAATCTGGATGAAATAGACTGTTTTCTAGACAGATACCAGATACCAAAGTTAAATCAGAATCAGAAAAACCATCTAAACACTCCTATAAACCGTAAAGAAATAGTAGCATTCATTAAAAGTCTCCCAACCAAAAAAAGCTCAGGACCAGATGGTTTTAGTGCAGAATTCTATCAGACCTACCAGGAAGACCTAATGCCAACTCTCTTTAAACTATTCCACAAAATAGAAACAGAAGGAATGCTACCTAACTGGCTCTATGAGGCCACAATTACACTCATACCTAAACCACAGAAACACTCAACTAAGAAACACTTAAAGAAATGTTCAACATCCTTACTGATCAGGTAAATGTAAATCAAAACTACTTTGAGGTTCCATCTTACACCTATCAGAATGGCTATGGTCAATAACATAAGTACCACTCATGCTAGTGAGAGTGTGGAACAAGAGAAACACTCCTCTATTACTGGTGGGACTGCAAACTTATACAGCCACTATGAAAATCAACATAGTGATTTCTCAGAAAATGAGCAATAGACTTACCTAAAGACCCAGCTATACATATCAGCGATGGACATATATAAAGGGATGCTCCATCCTACCATAAGGACACTAGGTCACCTAAATTCATAGTGGCATTGTTTATAATAGCTACAAACTGGAAACAACCTAGATGATCCTCAACTGAAGAAAGTATAAAGAAATTGTGGCACACTCACAAAATAGAGTACTACTCAGGTGTAAAAAATGTGACATCATGAAGTTTTAAGCAAATAGATGGAACAACCCCCATCCTTGAAGGGGTATATGAAAGTGCAGTGCACTGGAAACTTCCTGGAACCTATAAGGGTGACCCTAGCATGAACTGCTAGTAATGGAGTATATGGAGCTTTAACCTCCATCTTTGTAACCACACAGGGCTTTAAGTGGCAAACCTGAGACACCAACCTCCACAAAATATTTGACCTACAACCTGTCCCAATTAGAAAATATACTTAGGCAATGGTGGCTCACAACTTGTGAGAGTGGCCAACTAATGACTGGTCTCCCTTGAAGCCAATGACACAGGAAGGATTCCATACACAATACTGCCTGGAAAGTCAGGAAATGGAAGCTGGATAGTCCAGAAATCTAGCACAGAACCAAACATTACTGGTCAAAAAGGAAAGTGTAAATAAAATTAGTCCTAACAGTATTCTGCTAAACTCATAGATTTGTGCATAGCCTATTGTCATCAAAGCGATTTCTTAGGGAAGATGATAGGAGCACCTGCAGAGATGCACAGCCAAACATTTCACAGAAGAGGGAGAGAAAGAATTGACGAAGCCAGGGTGTCAAGAATTCCAGAGAACATATCCGTGTAAGAGAACAGAATCATCTAGTCAGAGCTTCACAGGGCCTCACAGAGATGAAGAGTCAGTCACAAAGCCTGAGTAGATGTCTGCACTAGATTCTTTGCATATTTGTTATGCTTGTTTGGTTAGAGTTTTGTAGGACTCCTAAAAGTGGTAGTGTGGGTATGTCTGACTCCTTTGTCTACACTTAGGACCTGTTTCCTTCTACTGAATTGCCTCATCATGATTTGATATGAGAGACTGTGCCTAGTATTATTGCATTCTGCTATGTTGGTTTTGGCTGATATCCCAGGTGGGGGGCTGCTCTTTTCTGAGGAGAAATGGAGGATCAGTAAGTAGATCTGGAAGACAGGGTCAGTGGAGAACCTGGGAAGAGTGGAGGGAGTGGAAGCTGTAGTTTGGGATGTA